CAGCGTAAATGTACAATCTGAGCCACAACATAATCTGAAGCTTTACGTGTTAAAATGGTCCAGTCAAAGTCCAGAGCCATTTGCAATTTTCTGTGGTAAAACAATGGCTCTCTCTATCCAGTCCAAATCCAGATGAGCTATTTTGTTTATGTAGAGATGTAACCTCCAACAAATGCAGCAGTAGTAGGTGAGAGATGTTTTCAGCAAGTTTAGATGTCTTCCTATCAGTCAATTATGCAAAATCAGAAGAAAAAACATTTACGTTTGTGTTGGTTTTGTAAAGAAAAAAAAAAGTACTTCTGCAAGCCAACACAGTCAGCCTTTGACAAAGCTTTCCTACAGTCAGTTATCTCTCTTCTGATTATTACTGTACATCCATTGCATCAAACTCCCTCAGCCCCGACCCAGCCGGATCCGCTCCCTAGATGGCGCTGTGTCCACCGGGCAGCAGAAAGGCCGATCTGCTATTTATCATGCAGTTCTGGCAGCCCGCAAAAGAAAAAAAAAATGCTTTTGTCGGAGGAACTGAAGATTTAAAGCCCAGATTAGCGCATTCATATCTCTGCAGTTAATTAGGAGCGAGGCGCTAACTGGAGTGGAAGAATAGGAGGAGGCGAGCCTCTCGCAGAGACGCACAAAAAGAAAGAAGTGCATTTATGTATACCTGACTGTTCTGCTAATGTATCACCAAGCGCGCCTGCTGAGATGTCTGAATACGAATGCTTAACACACACTTACCTTTTTATTTGATATTTTTTTCCCTCCTGCAAACTTTGTTTTAACAATGCCACACACGTACACACACCTCTGCAGCCAGTCACACTTCTACCTGAGGTTCACGCATGACTGTTTGTATGTGCGTGTCCTTCATAACGCCGGTGTTAAGGTCAGCGGGCTCATATTTTACCTGTCAGGAGTGATCACCGTCGGCTTCACAGCTGCTTTGCTTTCGGTCTGTGGAGGATTCAGCTGTCCTCCTAAATCTTTATCGAGGGAGATAGAAAGAAAAAACCCCTAAAAACACCACCACAACTGAGTCCCGCAATCTATTCAGCGGATCCATCACAATGCAGACGTGGAAGGCGCTTTTAGAGCGACAGAAGCCGCAATCGGCGACGGATCAGCCTTACAAAGCTGCTGTTTTACATGAAGGAAAACATCCCATAAAGTGTTTAAATGGGATTAACCAGTTCATTAGCTGGAGTAAAAATTTCATGACAGGTCAGCTGTCAGCTGTTTAATGCATGAGGGGGAGCCGGTTTCTGCTCCGCAGAGCCTACAGGCCCGCAGGGAGAAAGGCCCTGCTAATGCTGCCGAACGCACGCAGAAAGCCATTTGGAAAAGCCATTAGCAAATGTAGATTGTTTTTCTGTCAATTAAGATATGAATTATCCGGCTGACATCAGCGCGACTGATGTAATCCACTTCTATTAATTCGACTGAAAGGACAAAGTCGTCACTACACAAAATCCAATCAATAAACTTTGTCTGCCAACAGCCGTGTGAACAAATGAATATTTGATGGATACGTTTCATCGGCCAGCGTCCCACTGATGCAAGTGGTGGACAAAATGGCCAATAACAAGCCTTCTGATTTAAGGATCATGATGAAGATGTTCGCTTTTGTTCCAGGAAATGCTTCACCAAACTAGCATGTCTTTGTTAATTTAGTTTCCTTGAGCTGTTATTAATGTTTTAATCACCATCACTGTGGTTTCTCAGTTTGAGCATCCTAATAATTCTCTAATTACAGTGGCTTACAAAATTATTTTTTTTTCACAATTTGTTACAAAGCAACAACAAAAATGCATTTAATTGTAATTGTAAGCAACAGAGCAGCTCCAGCCATCTATAGATGCGTTTTTAGCTTCAACACGGCTGATTCAAACAGTCCAAACACATCTGTCCTCAGCATGTCAGACATCTGCTGAAGCCCGCTAATGAACAGTCATTTGAATCAGGGAAAAAAACAAAAACATGAACAATGCGAGGTTTGGAGGACATTAAATTGATTAAAAATAAATTTAGCTAAAGCTAAGTGTGCTAAACATTTTGAAAGTGAGCAAAAATGCTAAAACGCTAGACATTTTAGAAGTTAGAAGAAATGATAAAGTGCTAAACATTTTGTAAGTTAGCAAAAATGCTAAAGGGTAAAATGAGAAATTAGCTCTGCTAGTAGCGCATTAGCATAAGTGTACCCACCACTGATTCATTGTTATTGGTGTCTTTACATAATAAAATCTGGAAAATCTTGCATGCATTCTTATTCAGCCTCATCTACTTTAAATCCACTTAGTAAAATTATGTGCCACCAACAATGAATATTGTATATCCACACAATATGCGTTGTTAAATAGTCACACTAGAAAATAAACATGTATAACATATACTCAGAAGGCTATCTGTCAAGGAAAACGAGCTCTGGACACACCCTAGTCACGTGGTGGTGGGAGTCACGTTGGAAAAAACAACAAAGAAAACAGAAATATGAGTTTAGTCAAGCTTAATGTAACCAGTTACATGCAGATTTGAGTGCACCAGCTGGATTTTAGAGTAAAAGTTGCTGGATATTTGTGGTCCTAATTAAACTGATTAGTGTGACAAATTTAGAGCTGAATCTATGGATATTATTTCTATTTCCATTTGTAAGCTCCATCAATCTTCTAACTCCTGCTTGATATTTTGCGTTCGACTCCCATTTGCAATCTAGCTGGTTAATACTGATCAAAAAGCAGCAAATTGGGATCGTAAAATGCATTCACCAACACTACAGGTAACAGAAAATTGCATTTATAAATGTACCTTCTTCTATTAAGACGATATTTGCCGGAGTACTGAGAGAAATAATTGGATTTGTGTCGTAGAAAGTGCTTCGCTACACTCCGATTCTCTCCAAACACTCGTTTTCGGCGAGGTAATGATTGGAGCGCCACACTGATTCTCTGGAAAACCAAGCTGGTTTTTTAACTGTTTTTGTAAAACAAATTAAGAACTGGAACCGCTCTGCTGGAAAACGCCCTACACCTTGAAAGTAGTGGGAGCGATGACGACGCTGAAAGACACTGGAGCATCTTAGAAAACGCTTAAAAAAAAGCCAAAAGGGGCGGGGAGGGGGAGAGATCCACTTCTAACACAAACAACAAACTCCTGTATCGATTTAGCTGCTTCTGCAGTTGCCATTATTGTAGCGATACGTCTTGGACCGAGCGCTGCTGCTTGTTCAAATTAATATACATTAACCTCCATCGTACTGACTCAAACAATATAAATCTCTCTTTCTTTCTGTTTTTTTTTTTTTTCTTTTTGGAGGAACAAATACAATTTCTCATTGTAAATGGCTCAGACTGGGGGAAAAGTCCCCTCAGTTGAATGGATCTCCACCGGCCCCCTCAGGCTCCCTGTTCGCCTGTGGCAGGATGAATGAGTTAATATGTAGTCACTGTGTGAGCTGGATATACTCACACATGGTGCACTGATATCCTACATCAATGGGCTATTGCAAGTTAATGACCAGCTCTGCGAAGGCTCATTTGCAGGAAATATGGACAGAGTTAGGAGAAAAAAAAAAAAAGGGAAGCAGGGAAATCAGGTGCTCCTGCAGTCGAGGAGCTCATAACGGAGCGGCGTGGTTGTGGGGATTCTCATTTGGCTGTGTGATCTCTCACAAAGACTCAGCTCAAGCTGAAAGCCATTCCTACCACGTTGCGAAGACTTCGGACCCTCAAAATTCTCTTGTAGCTTGAGAATGTGCGTGTGGATTTGCATAATCGTCTGTAGGTAAACGACAGCTCTGAGCTGCTCTGCGCTTCGTTTGAATAGAAATGGCAGCACTTTTGGGGTATAAAAGGAAACCGGCGAAGCAACGGCAAACAGGATGAGTCTTTGGCATCCATCTTGTTGCGGAGCCGCCTCCTGCTTTCATAGCGTGAGGTGAACGAATGAGTGACAGACACCCACAGCTGAACATCCAAAACATTTGGGAACATTTTCTTTTTTATTTCTGGGAATTGTTTGAAGTCAAGGGAGCAGAAGACAATAATTAAACTGGTTTAAAAAGCCAAGTACCAACACACACACACACACACACACACACACACACACACACACACACACACACACACACACACACAAAAAAAAAAAAAAAAAAATCTAGTCAAATGTACAACTGTCTGGACATCAGGAGGACCAAAAAAAAAAGAAAAGAAAAGAAAAAACCTTCAGAAAATTGCCTTTTTCTGTACAGTAATGAGTCACCAAGCACACTGGCTAGCTGTAATAAACTATGTAAACATTTTTGTTTTGACACAGTTTTCAGTGAAAACTGAAGAAAAAAATTTTTACTTGGTCACACTGCAGTAAGATTTTAACCCTACATTTTACTTTTACCAAACTTTGACAGTGACAGTTACACTGTTTGCAGACACAAAATATGTTTTGTTTTAACACAGCAGGTCAGTTAAAAGATGTAAAATAAAGGAGAAATATGTCAGAGATTTTTTTTTATACTAAAAATCAAATTTGAATAAATGTCTATATATTTACGTTCTCTGAAAGCTTAACTTGCTCCTGAAAGCTTGAGGACCATCTAAAATTTGGTTGCCAAGGGAGCAAAAAATTTTGAGATACACGATCAGCGGCGACTGAACACTGTCAAGTCAACCTCAACTGGCCAGTAGATTCTTTGACAACAGACAGAAAATCATTCATCTTAATAAATAGATACACAAGTAAAGGGATAAATGAAAACAACCGATAAAAAAAGACACTTTTAAGCACATGTATACGTTACCTCATGTCGCGTCCATGACGGCTACATTTAATGAACCGTTTGAATACCAAAAAAAAAAAAAGACAGAAAAAGTAAAATAGCGTTTTGACTTCCAACTTTCCCGAACAATCATGATTTCTTGAGGTCCCTCACTTACACAGATGCCAGCACCACATCACATACACCTCACATGCATGCTCAGAATGGCCAAAATGACAGTGATCGTATTTTACAGGGTTACAATGGACGGGGGGGTCAGTAGAACTCCAAGGATTACACACCTCTTCACAGTCACTTGGGGTTGTGTCGGGGTGTTCGAGTGATAATTCACACCGTCGAATGTCTCCAGCGGGAACTTTTCAAATCGTCCCGATGGAGTCGTACTGCATCGTCTCTTTGTAACGCTTACAATAGTAAGTGAGCTCCCGTGAGCTGAAGTTCGTCTGTAAGCGACTCCGCGAGTCTAGAGTTCTCAAGAAAATGTGTTCTTTTTAAATCACAGTTGCCAATATGGTACTGTCAAAATGTTTTTTAGCTTTGTTCCAAACAGTTTATTCAGGTGTTGTGAAATGATTTGATTTCTATACATAATATTCCTTATCCTTGTCTTTCGGTCTCTTGCTACTTGCGCTGCCTTTAGCGCTGCCGCTGGGCGTTTTATCCTTCACCACAGCGCCATTGGTTTGCGCAGAGTTGCTGATGTAGTTGCGCGTTTCGTCCACCTGGTAGGAACCCTCGTCCCTGTTTCTGTACTTGTACATAGCGTAGAGGAGGATGAGGATGCAGAGGGCGGCGGCTGACACAATGCCCACCACCATGCCCGTGGTACTGCTGGATTCACGGATCACCTCCGAGGCTCCGGGCGGCACGCGCCTCACCACGCCGGGCACCGTGGGCAAGGCGGCGGGTACTGTGCGCAGCATGGGTGAGGTGATGAAGGGGCCCCTTGGTTTGGTGCCGTCCACATCGAAGGATGTCGGACGGGGCAGCAGGACTGGTATGTCTGGCTGCAGAGGTTTGACCTCGCGATTGTCCATTTTCCCTGCAGGCAGCTTGGGTGGCATGTCCGAGGGGACCGCCGCCGCCGGTGTGCCCCGGATGTCCGGCAGAGGCGAGGCGGGTGTAGTCCTGCCTGCCTCTGAGGCCTTGCTAGGCCTCAAGTCCTTGGGTTCCCACTTGGGCACGAGAGCTTTGTAGCCGCCTTCATAAGCCGATGTGGTCAAGATCTTATCTGTTACCAGGGAGAAGGTGGTGTAAAAATCTTCATCGTCAGTCGGGGGCAGGCTAGAGTCGAAAGCTTCGCCAGAGCCAAACCCCGAAATCACCATGCCATCATCATCATCATCATCACCACCATCATCACCACCATCACAATCATCGCTGCCTCGGTCCGACAAGCAAGGTACCCCCGCCTCAGTGGCCATGGCCAAGGATTCTTTGGTGGTGTCGATAATGGTGAGGACGGGGCGGAGGGTCGGGGGAAGGGGGATGAAGGGTGAACGGGTGGATACAGAAGGGATGTCTATGGGGTCCTCAACTAGCACGGGGACGACTAGCTCCCCTCCTGCAAAGCGGAAACAGAGAGAGAGAAGTCAGGGGGATAGAAAGTTTCTTGCCACCAAAGCAAGAAGCAAATCAAACACACACACCAAAAAAAACAAAAACAAAAACAAACAAAAAAAAACAACCAAACAAAAAAGAAAAAACTGAAAAATGCAAGAAGCAAAGCCCGATATGGAAAAAAAGAAAACCAAAAAGGAAATTATGAAAGAATAGAAACACTGTACCAGTGCAAAACCAATGAAACTCAGAACCAAACAAGACCAGAACTAAAAAGGAACAAAAGAAAAACAGCCATAAATGAAGTTTACATTGCATCAAAAGGCTTTGAGGGATGCACAAGGGTGAGCCACATCAAACTGATACCCCATTTTAACTCCTACATCTCCTTTACATTCAGACCGCAGCAGAACTGAGATTCATGCTGACCCGTTTTCTTATGCGGTGAGCTATAATTGCTACCTTTACATGATTCTGTCAGCAACTACTTAAATGGGCTGTTTTATTGTCGCCTAAATGTTGACATCAAAAGGTGGACTGTTGAGTATAAAAAGAAGTCATACTACCATCTGTTTGTAATAGAGTTATGTTATTGGACCTAAACCAAAATCGAAAAAAAACTTTAGCAAAAAAGAACTGATCTGTTAATTCTAGGATTTTCACATAAAATTTCTTTAAGTCTAACCTGAAGACTTCATTCCTACACAGAACAGAGTGAGATTCTTGTTTATTGATTCATGAAAAAATGGAAATAGTAAAGTTTGTAATGCACGCACAATGTGAATCTCAAACATTTAGAAGGGATGTACCTTCGTCTCTGAGCGACTATAAGATTAAAGTAAGTTAACCTTGTCTGGTGTTTTTGTGTTGTATTTTTACATTTCTACAGATTGCACCATGTTTGGACAGTATTGAATAGGGTTTGTATACTGTATGGTATCTGTAAGGTGCTTGTGTTGCCTTTGTACAGGCTTTGAATGACATTTGTACAATGTTTGTGTTGTATTTTGCAGTGTCGTACAGGGTTTGTACACACAGAGTTTATACTGTATTTGAGATTAGAGTTGACTAAACCTGTGTGAGAAATGATAAGGCTGGCTATCAGTTAGTGTTGGTAAAGTGCTTGTGGACTCCTGGGATGGGTTTGTGTGGTAATTGGTTAATTACCACACAAATCTCTATACATACTGCAATGGACAGTGTATAGAGATTGTACAGTGGACAGCTCTGGAGAGTGTTGTAAGCTGTCTATATGTTCTTTTAGTGGTTTTGGGCTCTATTTGCACAGTACTGGTGCAATGTTGAGCCTTTTTGGCTTGCTGTTTACCCATGTTTGTGCTTTTTAGCTCTAAAAACTACTTGAACTATCAAAAAAAAATTAAAGGGTTTTGGAGTAGAACCACTCCAAATTGTGTAAGGATAATCTAGTTGCCTTGACTTCAGTGGGCTCCCCTAGTTGTCCTAGCCTCTTGCCTTTTGACCCTACAGTTACCACAATGGCACCGGGCAGTTCAGCGACACCTGAATGTTTCCTGACTTGGTGTGACTCAAGTCTTGCTTTCAACAGCTTGTGCTCCCCATTTTGGCGTATAAACCAGAGAAATTAATCCCTTCCCCATAACTGTCTATTCCTAATACACAAATTGACCAACAGGACGCTACTACAAAGAGTCTGAAACATTCAGATGTCAATTGAAACTGCATTTCGTTCTGCCAAAGTGGCTTGTTTGTACATTGCAAAGGCTCACAAACGGCACTATAAAGAGATGCAAACCTTTTGGAACAATAAAGAAAATCAGAATGGAAGTGAAAACAAAAGAAACAATAAAATAACAAAATAGTAATTAAGGCATTGCAAAAAGACTTTGGAATTAGAGCAAACATTGTAATAAAAGAAATAATAAAACATTCACAAAGTAAAGCCACAGATAGAGCTAGTCAGATAAAGGATTAGTAGTAGGTAAGAAGGAAAACGGGTAAAGAAAAGCAAAAGTCAGCTTGGAAAATCATAAAAGCCTACAAAAAAAAGAAGAAAGCATACCATCGGCTTTTTTCAACTTACATCAACAAATTGCCCGCATGATTTTGGCAGGAAGAAAACAAAATTTACAAAAAAAAGTTGTGTAAGAATGCCTTCGGACAGGTTAGATTCTCTTTAACAGCTTCTGGTTACGTAGTATATTATTCTCTGTTTAGACAGGATGGTATAGGGAGGCAACAACATATACATCCACACACATGACATGAAAATAATCTTCGCCATTCTGCTCTTTTTTTTCCTTTCTATTTTTAAAATTTATTCCGTCTTATAAAAAAGAAAAACTGTACATTTACGATTCCTACTTTTATGGTTAAATCTTGGTAAATATCTACAGCTTGATCAGATGACTCTGTAGCTTTTCTCTTTTTTTTTCTGCTTCTTTTTGCTCAACATTTACTTGTTCATCAGTCATGAACAAAATGAACTGTACATATCTTAAGAGTGTCTACATAAAGGGTTTGGGAGGAGGGAGCGTGAGACGGGGTGGGACCTATGAACATACTAGGAAGGAAATGACATAGATGGGGGTGAACGTGTACATCAGTTGCCATGTCCATGTAAAGGCGGCACGAAGCGGTCGGGCGGCATTAGAGCTTTTGGCTGTAAGGAAGGGATGGGGATATACAAACAATGAGCATATACATGCCCATCTACAAAAGAGAACAGCACTCTCAACACTGACAGTTTTACAAACCCTAAGCTGCAACTTCTTTGCCATGCACAAAAAATTCGACATTCATTGATTCGATCCCAAATTCCAAATTAGAGATAAGCTATTCAAGAACAGGTGAGTGTGAAAGATAAGCACATAAACAGTTTGGAAGAACTTTTTCAGTAACAGTGGCAGGAGGTTTGGGGGGAGTTTACTTTGGAGGTGGCTTCTCTTTTTTCTCCATGAAAGCAGTTAATTTGAAACTCAAATAAAGGCGTAGCAATTTGAAACCCAATATCAAAAACCTGAAACAGGAAGAACTTCATAGGGAAAAGAGGAAGCGTTATTCTAATAAAAGGGACAATTTGAGACTTTTTGAAGTGAGGTTCTGTTTGAAGGATGTGAGGAGTTGATGTCTCATCTACAGTAAACGACTGTTTTGGCATCTTCATTTTGGATGAGTACAGAACGAAGCTAACGGCCAGTCCGACATGAGCCAAGACCAAAGTGAACAACTCTAAGAAAAAGTACAGTGAAATACTTTTAGCACTATACGGCTGTGTGATACTGTTCATCTTCAAACTGTTGTCATGTTTGTCTAGCAAGTGTTAAGATACATTTAATTATATTATCTCCTGGGCCTCTTTAGTCACGCATATACTAAATTATGTAAAAAAAAAAAAAAATTATCACAATATACCATAAAAGACATATAAATTTAGGAATAAGTTAGCCAAAATTAGGCTCAACTTCAACCACTAGATGGCAGCACAGAGATTTGAATAAGATCCTACATTTGTGTGGGATGAGCATAACCCGACTGGAACAGCAGATCATCTGGGCTAAGACTGAACAAGTTGAGATGAATTCACATCAACAGTCAACATAGGATTAAGTTTAATTACCCAGTAATATCAAAATAAGTCTGAAGGACTTTTAGATTTTGGAACTAAATAACATTAAATAACTTAGAGTTCCTAAGAGAGTTCCTAAGTACTCTCAATATTAGAGGAAAAAAAGGTAATCTTGCACAGACTTGCAGAATAATAGACTAGGGTAGCATAGAGCACGATGCTAACCAAAGCAGTTCATGCAAATGTATTTCACAGATATTTGGTCAGCTCAGGGGAGTAGATGGAGACCTCCAGAACCAACCAACAAGATCTCTTCATGATGGGTTTTAAAGTTTGTTCCTTTCATCTTCTCCCCAGTGGCTGCTGCCAGGGAGAGGAAACGTCCCAAGATCTCAGCTAACCAATCAGAGACAGACTTGAGATAGTCAATGAAAAGTGAAAGCATGTTTTTAGAAAAAGAAAGAGAAAAAAATATGTCACTGCTATCATGGTCTCTCTAAATATACGAAAAAAGATGAAAGACATAATGAAAATAAAACTGAAAATTAAAACCGATGAGGTCATTGGGGGAAACCACCTGCAAAGATATTTTGATGCATTAAGAAACACAGTTCTTGTAGGTTATAGGCCAAAATAAAGTGATTGTGTGCATGTGATTATGATTTAAAAGTCAATAACATAAACCACTATGACTTTTTTGTAGATAAAAGTTATTTTAAGGAAGTAATAGTCCACTTTGGTCTTGCCCTCTCTTTGGTTAGCCGCTAGCTTCGGCTTCCAGGAGCAACTAAACCTGGATCTATTCTAAATGAAGGTGACAAGAAATGCATCCACAGCAGAAAAGACACTAAAGGCTCAACCTTTTGACAGAACCCCACTTTAAAACATCCTGAACTACCCCTTTCAGGAAGAAAAGAAAAATCATCAAAACATCGGCAGTTCTCATCAAATTAGCTGAAAAGTTAAAAAATCTGACATTATCAGAAAAAAAGGAACATAGTTTTGCATATATGTGTGTTGACATATATGCACAAAAAAAGACAAGAAGCAAGCAAGAAACAAAGAAAGAAACAAAGAAAGAAAGGCATTGAATCTCTCACACTATCAAAGATGAACAACCAGAAAGCACACACTGAGGCAGACAAAGAGAGGGGGGGACAGCTTATAGGTAAAATGTCACCACCTTCATATAACTAATAATACGCTTATTATTAGTTACTTCGTTACATTTCTCTTGTTAGTATTTTTAAACACGGGACAGGGCGTGCAGTCTGGATGTACGTCAGAGAAAGAGAGGGGGGGAAAAACATGTGGGTTCTTTCGTTTGATTCTTTGGATTTTGTAGTTCCACTGTAAGAAGTTGGGTTAATGCATGCTTTAAGTAAGTTGCATTTAGGGAGAGTAAGATACAATAACAAATACAGCAAGCTAGGGGGATGAGGAGGGGGTTTCTACGG